GATATCATCCAATTTGTAGATGTTTGTGAAATGAAATGATAACAGATACAGACATGTTTATTTTCGAAATAATTCTATTTAATAAGTTGTGATATTTGTTATCACTGAGGTGATTTGGTTATGCAATACATAACATATAAAAGCGTAAATTATGGCGTGAAATAAAAAAAATATTACATTACATTTCTGTGGTAAAAAAAATTATTACTTTAAAAAACACCAATGATTTCGCTGAGGATCGAACTCAGGACCTTCTGCGTGTAAAGCAGACGTGATAACCACTACACCACGAAACCATCCGTTAATTTAGCAAGACTTTTTGTCTCCACACTGTTAATGTTATATCATCTGTTAATGGGATTGACCAAAACGCTTTATTTCCTTTTCTTCATTAATTTCAGAGTTACTTTTAATCCAACTAAAATTCTGTGGTCTTTTAGGTAATAGACGGGATTCAAACTATTAAGAATTACAATAGTGCTCCGATCGATCGTGAGCGCAACTGGTCAAGTCGATTGCACACTTCGTGCCACAGAAATTGTGTCCCACCGCCACACTGCAATTTGTCATTTCTGTATAATTACGGAATATAAATATATACCTCTCTAGTTACTGTACTGAAAAATCAAAATAGAAATATCCCCGGGATTGGCAGCTCAGTCTCGTTTACACGATGTTTGTTTCGTAATGTTTAGATACGATGTACATGTAATCCGATTTAGTCAAATGTAACAAACGACTGTGCCTGAAACTTTCATGGATATATCACGGGGAAAATTCTTCTCCTCTGGGGTTCTCCACACGTGTCAGGGGGAAATCTCGTCTCGTCTCTATATCTCGTCCCCTTGAGGTACGGGATTGGGAAAGTCACTTAAGCTTTACAGTCAAATAAGACACACGCAGCAAAATACGTTTCAACTTTGTCTTAGTCGGTCAATCGAGCACTCTATAAGACCATGGAGCTCCATGATAAGACACAGCGCCCTGGGGAAAAATCCCCAAGAATATCGAAAGGCTGACCCAAGACTCGCCCAAGACTGCGTCTCAAGACTCGCCCCAAGACTCTCCAGGACTGGACTTAGACTGCGTCTATCGTGCTGTACTCGCCAAGACTAACTCAAAACTCTCTTTATTCATTTATTCATTTTCAAAACTCTAACCAATTACAAAACAATAAAAGACTCTAGGGCGTAACCTTCAATCATAAAGCCAATCACACTAAGTACTGAATACGTCATATCTTTTGATTAATCGTTCACTACATTAATAACTATATGAATATAAACTGTCAAAATGGCGACGATTATCTCGTAATTAGTTCCAAATCACTGAGCCAAGTTCCGTCCAAAACTTCAAATAGACCTAAACGATGACAGACATAACACAGCAATTCAGCTAATAATCAGCTAATTAAGTCGGTTAACAGATACGCGAAAACAAATTCATGACACTATGGTCTATGAAGGGACTGTGGTCGTACTAAATGTCCTTCGATCTTGAACGCATCTGGTCAAGTCGATTGTACACATATGGGATTATTTATAAGGCTAAAAAAATATTTTGTTGCCCTCAGCGACCGACCAAAAAATATGAAATATCGGGTCGCGTTTTTTTTTTTTTTTTTTTTTTGTTTTGTTTTTTAAAGGCCCAAATATTAAAAACTCACTATTTTAAGTAGTAAAAAAGTGTGTCCCGGAAGGATAAGTGGCGACTTCGAACCTCGAGTTGATCTGTATTTCTCTGACATGTTCCGAATAAATAAAGCCAATCACACTAAGTACTGAATACGTCATATCTTCTGATTAATGTTCACTACATTAATAACTACGGATACCAACTGTCAGAAATAGTAGTCCGAATAGCGACGGTTATCTCGTAATTAGTTCCAAATCACTGAGCCAAGTTCCGTCCAAAACTTCAAATAGGCCTAAACGATGACAGACATAACACAGCAATTCGCTAATAATCAGCTAATTAAGTCGATCAACAGATACGCGAAAACAAATTCATGACAGATATTTGGTCGGATTGTAAGGAGTACAATCTCAACGCACCAAAGCAAGATCGCACCAAACTCAGATCGCAAACTCAGATTGTAAAACTGGTAACAATAAACGTATATCTTACCACAGTCTCTTCCGGTCTAGAATGACTAGAGTTCTTTTGTCTCGAACCGCGTTGCGGGTAAACAAACCGTTCACACCGGGGCCGAGGGAGCCAGGAAGTCAGACAGATTACAACAATGTCAGAAATCGGCAAATTTACCGTCATGCAAAGCGATACCTCATTGTATGCCTTCACTTTGACATCAAATGACATGGAACTACAACGTAAACAAAACATGTAAACCAAATTAGCAATGAAATTTGGGTTTTTTGAAACCTGATACGCATCACAACTAGGCTACCAACTCATAAACACCCAGTTCCTGCCAGGTAAAGATTAATATCGGGAATATATTCATTTTCTAGTTTTAATAGGGAAAAACGGCGCGTACCATACTGACATCGCTAAACAAATCTTGTCAAAATGACGTTGTTTATGTTAACGGGTCGATCGAAAAACTGTGATATTTCTGATTCTTGGGGGTTCATAACAATTCAAGTCAATTATACAACAACTAATGAATTTATTCGATGCAAAAGTATAAAACAATGCTTCAATTTTTGCCTATAATTGTTTTATTTAGCACTGAACAGCGAACATTGTCATTTCAAAACATCGCCATTTGCATTTACGATCGAAAAGAGCATCCATAAAAATCGTCGAATTTAACATTAATAAAATGAGGTGTGACAAATATTAAATCAGCCCACCAATTTTGAATGAATTGTTTCGATCGTAAAATGTGAAAATCGAAGACAAATATTGGTTTCGCGCCGAGAAGAAGGGTAAATAAAATAGAGTTCATTTCAATCACTCCAAAAATCAAATGCGAACAATTTCTGGGCAAAGGTATGAACATTTGTTGCGAAAATGTGTCGTTGCTGGTAAAATAGATATAATTAATTAAAGAACCACTCGCTGGCTAAAATATGACCTTATACAGATATCATGATTAAAAAAACTCGAATTCTGGAATAAATAACTAAGTTGTTAAAAAAAAACACAGCACTGACGATGCCAAAAATAATGACCGACTGTGTACTGATCACGTGACAATGCTTTGCGCATACCCGCAACGCGCCTTTGCCAGGGAAGGAGGCCAATTCACACATAATACAATGACCGTTTCCAGGGATGGAGGAACTGTATTCTTACGAAGCGTGCGTACATCCGTCCATAGACCTTTTCTAAGCCATACGTACGTACAAACTAGAGAATGTAACGTTTCCGGTTGCAAGAACTTTATTGTTAACACGTGCATCGTTGCACACGACACGAATGTAGGAAGTTCCAGTCACACAAATGATTTATATCTCATCAATTGAGTTCTTACAGTTTGGTTTTATATTATGTATTATCGTATTTACTTTTAACTCATAAGTTGCAACATAAGCTCTCTAAAAGAGGGTCCGCCTCAATTATATGTATTTAGCTCGTCATTTGTATGTATATACAATTGAAAAGTAAATATATATAACTGAATAAGTAGGAATACAAATAAATAAATATATATAACTGCAAGAACTCAATAGAGAATATATAAAACATAATATAAAACTTCCGACGCCGAAACGTCCGGGTGGAAATGGTGACCGAAACTTCAGCCCGCTGAACTCATACGTACAAGCACGGTGTATTTATATTTACTTAATAATAACTTGTACGCTACAAGCACGTTTTAATTATAGGTATTTACTTATAACTTGCAAGATATTAGTAAACAATTATAAATAAACCGCACCGTGTGTAATGTACGAGTTATGTGAACAAGTATATGAATATTTGTTGCCGAAAAGTCCGAGGATGATGTCTGAATAACCTTGATAAAGTTTATTAAAAGTCCATAAAAATATCCTAGTGTAAATAATGTACTACATCATGCCTTGTAGCAGAACAGTGTGCCATTATCACCTGTCCCATTTTAACATATTTCCTTGGAGATATGAATCATTCTCTACCATGCTAGCTGTCTTTAGGGTATTCATAAACCCGGTACATATAATAATATTGACAAACGAAAAAAAACGGCACAATTAAATATTCTTGAATTACAATTAAATATTACAAATCGCAGTACCTGCAATCGTACCTGTCATTGTACAGACATAACAGTTTAAAGGACCAGCTCCGAAAACAATTATTGTAAAACGTTATTTTTGTTAGCATGTCGGCATGCGCTGATTTATCTAGAAATGATTGAACTGCGTTGATGATAGCTTTGTTGCGGTTACAGCTCTCATTAATGTATTCCGGCCCAACGAATTAATACACTAAAAGAAATTGGTCATCGATCATGTCGCAGTTTCCTTGCCACTGACAGGTGCTGCGCCCTCAGGCGAGATTTGGGATAGAACATTGACACCTTTTGTGTGACGTCAGGCACGATAATCAATCAACCAATCAGCTTGTTTGTCTTGAAATACGATCCCATGACGTCACAGGTCAACTCCAGTCGACTACTCCACGATGTTTTGATAGACTTGGCATTTCAGATGTGAAAATCTTGTCGTTTGGACTGTTTTCACGTATAGTCAACACCCGAGTCTGTAGTGAGACCTCATATACAAACATAGATCGAAGCGAACGTTGGAGGATCTATTTAGTTGCAGCACATTGGATGTAAATCTCGCGACGGTCGGATTGTCTACATTTCGTTACATCGGTTTGCCGAACGATCAAGCCACTGTAATGTGCACCACTCTAACTGGAACGCTGGATTAGAACAGATTTCCCTGTCTCAGCCGCTGATCGGTTTATTTTAAAAACTACAACGTTGTTTCTAATCATAACCTGTGTCATCGAGCCACTTCTGGACTTGCTAGACTTGTTTATGTTAACGTGACTACACTGAGAGAAGTGTACAATCGAAGGTTCTACAACGACTACGCTGATCGTGGAACCACATCTCAATGTTGCCTCGTTTCAATGGATAAAGCAGCGATGAACTTCGCACTGGAATAACTTAGTGATTTTATATGTTTCGCCATATGGTTTCGGGGCATGTGTTTCTCAAAACGATGAATCTGAGCGCTAAACGCAGTTTATGTACGTTAGTCTTAGTCGTAATATTTTCCGAAACATTACTTCTTGAGGTCAGCGGTTGTCCTCTGCGTTGTACATGTAGTATGTTGCGATCCAAACCCGGGGAGGACCCGGAAAGAACACCAAAAGGCAGGCGCATCGTATGCTCTAGTAGTGGCCTAGACAGTCCTGTCGAACCTACGTTGATGCCTGCTGACACCGTGCATCTGTGAGTATCTCTATTATGTTTAGATTTCAAATGCAAACGTTGATTTCTCTGTTGTTTTTAACCTCGGTGTACATCGCATTTTTATTATATTAGTATTTGCAACATTGTGGATAAAAAAAAAAGAATGTCGTGTTGTTGTTACCAGATCTCACACAGGAAAGCGATTATCCGGCCACTAGTAATTTCAACCCACCGAGTAATTTCTTTGAAAGCTGCGTTAACTTAAAATACAGACGCCCAACTGTTTTCCATCGTGAAATGATAACAGCAATATTATCAAATTGTAGTCTGTCCCACATGCTGACTATAATGAGGGCAACTTTAATTAAAAAATAAAAAAAAAAATATAAATTGAATGTTTGCCAGCTTACGTTTTTCAACCGGTCTCCGATCTGTTCTTTCGAGTCTTTTATTCTGTCTGTCACCGTAATAATTAACGCTTTTGTGGCACTGACACATTTTGCTTGGTGATTCTTCTATATACTTGAAACCTGCTGCATTCAAGTAGTTTGGATCTGAACTAATTCAGAATACCGGTTTGTCTCTTTAGCGCTACGGTAAGTCAAAAGATTCCCAATGATTCTGCGCGTCATGCTTAGACTAAAATGACGCTCTCGTTCTCAATATGCAGTATAATCCAGGCTTGATCTTGGCTGTTAGCTACCTTTGTGCAGTCTTATGCAGTGAGATGTACAACAACAAAATGTAATATAATATGATTTTCAAAAATTACAATGATGTACAATTGGCATAACCTTTTGTTACCCTTGCTCATTAATGACAAGAAACATTCCCCTTGTTAACATTTTGAAACAATTTCTTCTGATTTAATATTAATAACTTTCACTGTAATTATCTACTTTTACATAGTATGGTGTAACTTTTATGATCAACAATTATTATAATTTATTAAATAATTCGACATTCACCAAAATGAGTTCAATTATTATTTCAAATGTTTGTTGGATTATTATTCAAATTTATATATTATTACTGTATTTTTTGGTGTTTAAACAAATTCCAAGGGTACTTTCAGTAACTGTGTTAAATGATAATAACTACTGATAGTAACTTAATCTAAAAATATACTAGTGTATATTTTCATCAGACATACCAGCATTTTTACCATAACATAACTGCATCCTATTTTTTTAAATCTAGTTACATATTTTAAACCATTTAATTTTCACGATAATTGGTTTCACAGTCTGATAATTTGATGGCATCCATGTAGATGAAATTTTACAACAACCACCGTGATTCACGGTCTTAAAATTCGCAATTACCAAATTTGTCTGGCACAAAAATAAAGTTGTTTACAGTGGTTTTTGTTCATTTGTATTAAAAAAAATTATGATATCTCATCACTGTAGACGTCGGCTGTTTATAATCGGTCATGTGTATGTGCAACTGACGTCATAATTGGCAAGGATAATGAAACATGTTCTATTTTCAGTAAAGCCAACATTTTAGAACACCTGATTACAGTCGGTCGTGTATTTTGCCAGATAACTTTGGTTTTGACTAAAACATATTTGACTGACACAAACAATTTTGCTTGCTCTTCAGTCCTGTAAACTCTCATAAACTTATTTCTATCGTAGGGATGGCCATGTAGGCCGGCTTCAACAAAATCATGTGAATTGCATAATGACTAACTTACTGCTTCAATACTTTTCTCAGATGCAGTATGAATGAAAGCATATATTATTTAATACATGTATTGTTGTTTGATACTTTATACTGTAAACCAAATTATGATTTGTCATGACAGAACTAATAGTAAAAATGTTGCATATTTGTTGAAATACTGATGAAAAAACACTAACACATGTGTAGGGATTATTATTGTATGTACCAAAATAACCGGATCATATATGTATTTAAGAATTTCAATGAAATAAGAATTTCATTGTTTCAACAACAATATTAAAAATTATGATTGTATATTCATATTGCATTATTAACTTTCCTATCACAAAATTATTACAAGATATTACAAAAAAATTGTAATATTATTTTTGTGTTTGCAGAAACCTGAGTGGCAATATTATAAGCATACTGAGAACTGGCACATTCATGGGTCTGTCTTCATTGGAAAGATTGTAAGTACCATTATTTTTCCCACAGTTCTGTGCGGCCATACTCCCAATGATCATGTTGCAAGTGCTCATCTATTGTGTATATCATCTAATTATATTGCACAGGCAAATCCAGTTTTCTGGTTGAGTTTCAGCTATTTTGTCCCCACCCTCCAGCCCCTGGGAAATTTCCCTTCAAAAGTGCGGGTTCTTGTAATCTCACAATCCAAGGGGTCCCAGCATGGTTACAATTGAGAGGTATCACACTCAATTTGGCATGTCCAAGGTCAGCCTTTGATACAGCTGGCTTTCACTGTGGTTTATTCCATTTCTTTGTTCCATATGTGTGGATACATGAATGACAGCCTGGCCTGTCGTGATAAACATATCTATTTGCCAATCTATTATGCATACTATATCTGGCAATTGGGGGTAGGGGTAAAGGAGTTTATAATATTGGCACGATTTAAGAGCTAACTGACTCCCATTAATGTGTTGATGCCAAAACTCTTGATTTGAATGGCTACTGAATATCAATCTATGATCAATATTAAAGCTAGCTCTCAGTAATCAATGGCATAGAAAGTAATCTGTGTGTTGCTATATTACCAATGATCACTTGGTATTATATTATATTGTATATTATAGATACTGTATAAAGTCTGTTGTTCCAATATGCTGCATATACAAACAATTACTAATGGATATGAAATAATAATTATTGTTATATTTGAATAATGTTCCATCATGATTGCAATGCATTAATGTATTGTCCTTTATGTATTATTTGTATATTGACATGTTATTGCTGCTGTATGTTATCCCCCTATGTTACATGATGTTATATGATATATCATCCCACAATGCATTGCTTCCGTAGCCCTTTAAGGTCGTTTTAAAACTGGTACAGTGCTTTTGTTAGAATGTGTGTCGTAGTCAATATCAGCATGAATAGAGGAACTCAACTGATATACCTAAAGGTTTATAGGCATATATTTTCGAGGGCTTGAAATTAAAAAAAAAAAATCTTGGAAGCCAATTGGGCTGCTGAATTTAAAAGCTGATAGTTACATGGTAATATTGAGTAGTCCAGGTTTGGCAGACACTTGAAGTGTTCACATAAATAAATAAATTTCACATTGCTTAATTTGTGTAAGACACCCTTAGCTTTGAAGACAATGTGTTATTTATTGAAATAGTTTTTTTTTGGAAAAGTTAGCTGAATAGTAGGTCTGTGAATGTCAGGTTACTGTCAATTTCAAGTCCTGTTCTTATATGTTTATTGTTATTCCAGTGTTGACAAAAGGATGTCACATAGTATCATTGTAGTCGCTGTTACATGCATTACTTAGTACTAGTATGTAAAACAAAAACAATAAATGAACATTATACATGCATTATATATTCAAGATAGTTTAATTTTGATTCATATTTAGTTAATTATAATATCTGAACTAAAATTCAATATCCGTTTTGTTATTGTTCTTGTCTTCAGTGCAGCAATCACTAATAGTCATTTCTCCTACTTATCACGGCTGCCATTGTTTTTTTAACATTTAGATGTTTCAAAGACAGTGCTGTGAATTAATGAGGTCAAATTAGAAGTAGTTTTAACCCTCACTGTAACAATCCAGCCAATATAAAAAGAATAAGAAACTTGTTTGTTTTGACATCTTTCATGACTATTGTTTCCCAGCTGTCTAAAATCTTTCACTCAAAATGATAGTCAAGTGTCTATCACCATACAGATTTACTAACCTTCAACTAAGTTTTATTTCCTCCATAAAAAGCTATTATCAGCTGATATAAACCTCTGTTTCTTTGGGACTGTGATGTAAAATGGTTCACATTATGAGATGGGGGTGTAGTGTGTTTATTTTTAGATAATGTACAAGATTGTTAATAACACCTTTGCTTTTATGAGAATTTGACCTTATCCTGTCCTAAAAGATAAATTGATAATTAGGTGTCAAAAGAGATTATTGATGTTTGCACTTATTTCCTAAGTAGGCGACCATTATTTCCAAGTCTCTCTTGATTGTCATCCCTACCTCGATGTGTTCCCTGCAGATCTGTATAAAGTATCATCAACCTGTGGTATTTCCCCTACCTAACATGGTGGTTAATCGTTTACTCATGAAGTGTGGCTAATTTACATATGAATGATGCAAAATTATGTATGCACGAATCATAATTTTCACACCACAGAAATGATTAGCATTTTAGTAATAATCTCAATTTTTTCAGAAAGCAAATTTCACAGTCTGCATAAATTTAAAAAAAAAATTTGAACAAGACATAACTTGTGGGATATTATTACCTTCTAGACCAAATTTAATAAAGTAAAGTAATTATAGAATACTTGAAAATTGTGTTGTTCTAAAATCCTGGCAGGAAAATATATGGTGTTCAAAGTATTCAGCTCTTGGCAAAACACTGACGTATTACAGGTATATGAGTTAACAGGCAAATTATTTATCGTTGATTTATGTATGTCTGTGGGAGAGCTTACGAAATGAGGCCAATTCATCAATTCTCTCTGGTTCAGTGTTCAGAAATACTTCTCATTGTAAATGGAACCAAATTTTGTATTTTTTACATGCATGCATTTATTTGCTCAGTTTTACATCTATTCCTCAATATAATTAGTTGACCTTGTGTTTTTTTTTTTAATAATCCTATAATTGTTCCTCAGGATTAGAAATTTATTCCAGTATTATGGATTTCAATGACTATGTTCCATAACACATGTTTGGTCAAGGCCGTTATATAATGTTAGATTGAGTTCTCCCTAGAAACCATGTAGACAAAGTCATAGCTTTATTTGAGATGTGTTGTGTAACTCCTGGGAGATCTTAATACCTGTATGTCCACAAGTCAGCTGGCACTTTCACATGACTAGTGTAGTCATGTACAACATCTCTCATGTTTTATTAATTTTAATGTCCAGATTATTAGTACCGGTAAATAAAGGCATACAATTCATATGATGAATAATCAGTACTGTTTGACAATTAGTTGGTAACCATTCGTAATTTTAATTAAATGATTCGAAATAACGTAGCGTCTAGACATAACACACACTGTCTCAAGAAAAGTCAGAGACAATGTAGTCCCTGATTATTATAAACTGATTATTATAAATGTAAGTAGTCACACTAGTCATGCCCTGGTGTTGATAAACACACCATCCACTTGGCGAAAGATTATTATTGATACAGTATTAACCGGATGTATCCTTGATAAGCTTTCAATTATTGTTTCAGTAGTTGCGTTTGCGCACAGCGACTACATGTATGAGGTCAAAAACGTTAACCCAATCTAAGAAAACATGCCTGAATACTTAGCTCGAGCTAAGCCACCAAAATGCCATTGTATTCAATGTTCATTTGGAAGATTTACTATTACATTCATAACTATTCATTTTCTATCAACACAGGCACATCTACGGACATTGTTCTTGAGAAAAACTGTACTTTCTGAATTTGCTTTAGTATTGTTTTATAACCATACAACTAAATATATACCTTCCTGGTTACTGTACTGAATAATCATAGTCAAAAAGACAAGTTCTGGCATTTCTTAGCTCAAGCTAACCACTGTGCCCTTGTGTGGAACGCAGTTCCCGATTTCTAAATTGATAGCGTTTGTGTGTTTATCATTTTTGTGTTTATACATATTGCTGGAAGGTAGGACAGATTTTGAATGTTCCAAACATGTAGAAACGCATTGTGCTGCTCATCCATGTTTCCTATTGGTAGCGTAAAAAATCACCTGAAGTAAAAGGGCCACCATCTTTCAAATAGCTTGTATCAGCCTTACTCACTGTTCTGATCGAGCAAGATTGAATGAACATGCAAATTTGCTTTGGCTATAATGTAATACTTTAATAAATTTGGGGGGTATTTCTAGATGTTCTTCTTGATGCCCCTCTTTACACACACACATGCTCTCTCAGCTATCTTTTAAAACTGTTTTGAGTACGTCACTGGTTGCATGTCTATTGTTTTTTTTTACATTTTATATTGCTGTCCTTCCCTCGCCTGTTGCCTGGTAGGTTGCGCATGCGCAAATAGATTTTCATCACCTCTGTCAGTAATTCGGGAATTTGGTCTCGCCGATATGCAAACATATGAGGTTAGCTTAAATCTCATTCCATACTTCGTTTATGGCTAGTACTTTTCTCTGAAGCTGTCACAAGATATTATTACAAATCAGCAGTTTTGAGTGAGCTATCAAATCAACACTGCTATCTCCATCCTGTGCTAGCTTTCTCAAACCTTTACTAGCACTTCCCTCTCAAACCTTTACTAGCACTTCCCTCTCTAACCTTTACTAGCACTTCCCTCTCTAACCTTTACTAGCACTTCCCTCTAACCTTTACTAGCACTTCTCTCTCTAACCTTTACTAGCACTTCCCTCTCTAACCTTTACTAGCACTTTCTTCTCTAACCTTTACTAGTACTTCCCTCTCTAACCTTTACTAGCACTTCCCTCTCTAACCTTTACTAGCACTTCCCTCCCAAACCTTTACTACCGGGTAGTACTTCCCGCTCTAACCTTTACTAGCACTTCTCTCTCTAACCTTTACTAGCACTTCCCTCCCAAACCTTTACTAGATCTTCCTTCACTAACCTTTACTAGCACTTCCCGCTCTAACCTTTACTAGCACTTCCCTCCCAAACCTTTACTAGCACTTTCCTCTCTAACCTTTACTAGTACTTCCCTCTCTAACCTTTACTAGCACTTCCCGCTCTAACCTTTACTAGCACTTCTCTCTCTAACCTTTACTAGCACTTCCCTCTCTAACCTTTACTAGTACTTCCCTCTCTAACCTTTACTAGCACTTCTCTCTCTAACCTTTACTAGTACTTCCCTCTCTAACCTTTACTAGCACTTCCCTCTCAAACCTTTACTAGATCTTCCTTCACTAACCTTTACTAGTACTTCCCTCTCAAACCTTTACTAGTACTTCCCTCTCTAACCTTTACTAGCACTTCCCTCTCAAACCTTTACTAGATCTT